ACCCATTTATCCCTCCGCCTTTCAATTAGCCCCACATGTGATTATTGGCCAGGCTGGCACAATTAACTAACTCACCTGGTAACAGACAGTGGCCTTGCAAGCCCAGCGAGTGGGCTGCCTGGTCTCCCCCGGGCAGCGGGCAGAAGTGACCACCAGGCCAAGGTGAGAGGGCAAGTGGGCCACCTTACAAGAAGTTGAGTAGAAGGGGCGGTGGGGCAGGTTCGGGACTACTATCAGCAGGGCGCACACCTACCAGCCACTGCGAGGGAGCGAGCGGAGACTGTCTGCTCCCATCAAGATGGGACATATTTGACATATTACTCCCCCTCCACACACACCACCCACGAGGGGCGAACAACAGAAAGGTGGGTGAAGGGAGACAGTGGACAGTGTAAGATATGAAAATAATAATAATTGATCATTTATCAAGGGGTCACGAGAGGAGGAGGTTGGGGAGGGAGGAGGGAAAATCGCCGACACCACAGCTCAAGGAGAAAATGTTTTGAAAACGATGACGGCAACATGTGTACAAATGCCCAGTGCAATGGACTGTATGGATTGTTATAAGAGCTGTACGAGCCCCCAATACAACGCTTGATAGTTTTTTAAAATTCCACAGAATAAATATACTCTTCTGGTTAAAAAAAAAAAAAAAATTGAAAGATGGAGCGACTCGGAAGCCCTCTGCAGGATCGCTGTGAGTCGGGTCCACTCCGGGGCTGGGCCTTGGCGTTTGGTTTGGGATACCGAGCCCTGGTGGCGAGCTGGGTGGTGACCAGTCGGGCTGCTGACCACACAGTCAGTGCCGGGAGCTCTGCAGGAGGAAGACGAGGGTTTCTGTTCACGCAACGATTTAGTCTGGGAAGAACCCACAGGGGCAGGCCTACCCCGTCCTGTGGGGTCGACACGACACGAGTCCGCAGCGCCTTGGTGGTGGTGGGTTTGGTTTGAGAGTGAGTCGTCTCTCAAACCCAGGTGTAGGAGGACAGGTGGGTCAAACCCAGGTGTAGGAGGCCAGGTGGCGATGCAGTGCATACAACTCCACCCCCACCCCCATCTCTGGGTCATTTCAAACCAGCTCCCGCCCTGCTCGCAGCTGCAGTGACCCGTGATTTCTCTTCCGGCTGTGGGCTTCTGGGAAGGCTCAGCGGTCACTGGAGGAGACGCCATGAGGTCAAAGAGCACGTGTGTCTGAGTCCTGGGAGAAGAGCAGGGCTCTGCCTCACGTTTCAGCAGGTGCTCGAGAGCCAGTTTCACACAGCGTCTTTGCCGGGCTTGACACTACCTTTTGTTGCTTCCTCTGGACCTGGGGGAAACGCCCAGGGCTTTTCTGCCCGCCTAGGGGGGCAGCCTCCTCCTGGCAGACCTGGTGTTCACCGGCATGCCACCGCTCTGCCGTCCTCAGCTCTCCTTTCCGCAGGAGGTGGTGAGTCGCCGTGCTTTCTCATCAGTCAGAACAGCACGTTTCAAAGTTCAAAACCAGTTCACGAAAAGCATGGGTAAAACGGAGGTAAATTGGGGTGGGAGTGCCCTGCCCCCCATGTGAGGACCGTGTGAAAACAGCAGACACACCCACTCACTGGCCAGAGTCGAGTCTGACTCATAGCACAGTGTCCCCGAGACTAACTCTTTATGGGAGCGGACCCCTCATCTTTCTCCCCAGGTGCAAGGGTGGACTTGAACCTCTGACCTTGCAGTCAGCAGCGTGCGTACCTCACTGCATCAGCAGGGCTCTCTAACAAACAGACATACGTCCTTTCTTTTGGAACCAGCATGTTCCTCCCACCCTCACCCTCTGACACTTTAGAAAAGCAAATATCGAGCAACCCCGGCTCTGATAGTGACAGGTGTAAACTCCGTTACAGTAATACATCGTTTCTGGTGTTGAGTTGTTACAGTAATACATTGTTTCCGGTGTTGAGAGTTGTTACAGTAATACATTGTTTCTGTTGTTGAGTCATTACAGTAATACATTGTTTCTGGTGTTGCGGGTCATTACAGTGATACATTGTTTCTGTTGTTGAGTCATTACAGTAATACATCGTTTCTGGTGTTGAGAGTTGTTACAGTAATACATTGTTTCTGGTGTGGAGACTCGTTACAGTAGTAATACATCGTTTCTGGTGTGGAGACTCGTTACAGTAGTAATACATAGTTTCTGGTGTGGAGAGTCGTTACAGTAATACAATTTCTGGTGTTGAGTCGTTACAGTAATACATCGTTTCTGGTGTTGAGAGTTGTTACAGTAATACAGTTTCTGGTGTGGAGAGTCGTTACAGTTACATTGTTTCTGGTGTTGAGAGTCGGGGATTTTGACTTCAGGGTGCTTTCTGTCCATTCCCGTGTCTGGTTTGATGTCCTCTCCCGGCCACAGGGGCTTTTAAGCATCCATTTGCTCAAGTGGTTTGACTTTGGGGGTTTATTTTTGGTCGCAGTGAAACCAACAAACAGAAAAAGCAAACAAACCCCCTGCCTTTGAATTGATCCAGCTTGTGGAGACCCTGCTGGCTAGGGTAGACCTGCCCTGAGGCTGTCAACCTTCTCAGCACAGATGGCCTGTCTTGGGTCCGTGGGGTGGCTGGTGGGTGCCAGCTCACTGTTTAATCCGATGCACCACCAGTAGTAACTGTCGGACGTTAATAGACTGTCATCTGGGTTGGCCTTTTCTAGCCCATCGTCATGGTGACCGCCCTCCTGTGGTGGTGTCTTAGTGCTGAAGAAAGAAGGAGGTCCACCTCTTCTCATGGTCTGTGCATCCCCCCCCCCCCAACACACACACAGTAGTTCCAGTATCTATCGCCTTGTCCCGTCAAAATATCTGAAAACCAGTCATATGTCCCAGATACCAGCGGCTCGTTGCCCTCAGGAGATGATACTTAAAAAGCACGCGTCGCTGCAGGAAAGCAGGGAGCGAGAACAGAAAGATCAGCGAGGACGTTGCCCACCTGCACCACAGTGCGTTTTCTCTAAACCAACAAGCACCCCCACTGCCACCCGACCAACGCTGTCTCAGAGTTGACTGCCCACCGGGGCTCCTGGGACTGTGCCATCCTGATGGGGTACGAGCTGCGTGCCTGCCTGGTCTTTCTCCCGAGGGGCAGCTGCTGGGCTCAAACTGCGGACCTTCTGGCTAACCGCTGGTCGTTTGCCCACTGTGGCACCAGGACTCCCCCTCATGGGAAGAGGACCCAGATGTGGGGCTCATGGGCGAGCCTCGGCTCCTGGCCCCCTCTTTCGCTCTTGGTGTTCTTTGCTGCCTGCCTTCCTCCACTGCTTTGTCTCTCCAGCTCCTGGTGGCTCTCGGTAGGAGGGTCAGTCTGTGGGGAAGGGGCGCGGCTGGCCCAGTGGGTTAAGCATTGGTCTGCTCACCAAAAGGTCAGGGGTCCAAACCCACCAGCTGCTCCGCAGGAGGGAGGCGAGGCCGACCGCTTCTGTACAGATGGCTAAGCGGCCTTGGACACCCTAACGGGCACTTCTGCTCCGGCCTGAAGGGTCTCTGTGAAGCGGATTCCACCTGCCAGCAGTGGGTTTTCTCCAGGGTGGCTGAAGTCTCCCCTCCATCGGGATCTCTTCCCGGCCTCTCACCTCGCCTCCTCTTTCCTGTCACATTGCTGTGGGTTCAGACAACTGATGGCTACTATAGTGTCTTGACATTTAGAAGAGTCTCTGATTTGGTGATAACTGGGCTGTGAGAATCTAAACGCCACTCCTTGATTACAGTCCCAAGTGGACATTTCAGTCCACCTTTAAAGACAAAGCCCACTTTTCATTTGTCTAGGACTTAAGCAAGCATGGACAGAAGCGGAAAGCAAAATCAGTGTCATTATTCCTTAGAGTTAGTGAGCCTTATAGGGCACAGCATTGATGAAAACATCCCCAGTTAATGCAGTAAAAATGGTAATAGCCTGGTGACAACATCAAAAGGAGCAGTATTACTCATGACAGTGTTCTGATCTCGAGAACATGAGAGTACACTGTGAAATCAGTCACTCCTGGGACTTTCTGAGATGCGAGGGGGGAGGAGGCGGTCATTCAGCAGTCAGCAAGATGGCCTTACAGTGGCTCGTGGGAGTCTCTCTCAACCTGTGCCCACACCCAGTGTGTCCAGACACGTGGACTTCTCTTCTTCCCCATCTCAGGGACCTGGCGCAGCGGCCGGGGAGGCTCACCCCCCATGTGTTTGCTTCCCTGGCCCCTTGTCCTTGTCCTTACTCAGACTACCCGGGTCAGCAGCTCCCTCAGTTTCCCTCTCCTTTCCAGGGTGGTTCACAGGTCACCCTGTGTCAACATCACCCCGGCACACCGCTGTCTGAAGTCCCCCCTCACTTGTTTGCTTTGTCTCCCTCAGCACAGTACAAAGAGCCTGGGGGTTGGTCTGGTGGTGGAGTGGGGTAAGCCTTGGGCCGCGCACCCAGAAGGCAAGGACAGCGGTTCAAGCCCACCAGCTGCACCGAGGGAGAAAGATGAGGCTGCCTGCTCCTGTCAAGATTCACAGCCTCAGTCCAAGACAGCGGTTCTCAACCTTCCTCATGCTGCGACCCTTTCATACAGTTCCTCACGTTATGGTGATATTTTCATTGCTACTTCATAACTGTCATTTTGCTGCGGTTATGAATCGGGCGACCCCTGTGAAAGGGCTGTTCGACCCCCAAAGGGGTCACGACCCACAGGTTGAGAACCGCTGGTCTAAGAAATCCCCTCAGGCAGTTCCACTCTGCCCTGCAGGTGGCTGTGAGTCAGAACGCAGGTGGTGGCAGTAGGTTTGGCCTTGTGTCTTCGGGGCTTTCAAGAGGGTACAAGCTGTGTGCCTGCCCGGCCTGGGGTGGATTCTCAAGGACTATGAATTAAATGAGTGAAGGATTAGAATAAAGTGAGCATCGATGATGGGAGCGGGTTTTAACATCCCCAAGACCTTTCTGGGGAGTAAGGAGGTGCTGTGGTCCTCACGTTGATGGTAATTTGCCCTGGAACATCACCATGCTACCCGTCTCCTCAGGTGTGGTCTAACAGCACCCAGCACACCCTGGTATCGGTGCCCGATGCTGAGCGTCTGCCTTATTTTTTCATCCGAGGGCACCCAGAAAAACTTGGAATTTTTTTCAAAGGCATGCATTAAATTTTTTTACAAAGTAACCTTCAAAGCACTCTCCATTGCACTTAATACATTTGTCAGATCTACGATTCCATTCTCAGAAACATTTTCAGACTCGTGTGTTTGGATGGCTGACAGTACCTCCCTCGTTTTTTGCTTCACATTGTCAAGTCGCTCTCCTTTCCTGTCCCTCTTGGTTCATGGAAACAAAAAGATGTCGCTCACAGCGAGGTCAGGTGAGTCAGGTGTGTGGGGCAAGAGAGACATGCTGGTTTTTGCCAAAAACTGGTGCACTGAGATGGCTGCTTGAGCAGGTGCCTTGTCATGGTGGCAAAACCAGTTCTTCATCTGCCACAAATTAGGCCTTTTTTGCCACACTTGGTTAGGCAATCTTTTCAGAACCTCTAATTCAGTGGTTCTCAACCTTCCTAATGCCATGACCCTTTAATACAGTTCCTCATGTAGTGGTAACACCGCCTCCCCCCAACTATAAAATTATTTTCATTGCTACTTCATAACTGTCATTTTGCTACTGTGATGAATTGGGTGACCCCTGTGAAAAGGTCATTCGACCCCCAAAGGGGTCGCCTCCCACAGGTTGAGAACCACTGCTCTCAACAGAAAGCTTTGGTTAACAGCCCGACCTGGTGGAACGAACTCCAAATGCACTTTGAATCATTTTCGTCGGTTGACCGTAAGTCTAGAACGAGGTTTATCATCAATCAACATTTCACCTTTTTTGAAATGGGAAAACCACTCGTACACTTGAGTTTTTTTCCATAGCGCTGTCCTTGTAAGCTGTGTTCAACATCACAACAGTTTCTGCAGCATTTTTCCCGAACAGGAAACAAAATTTCACAGCTGCACACTGTTCTCTTAAATCAGCCATCACAAAAAAACGAGGTTGGAGCGAAACAGCTGTTAGAAAAAAATTCACTTTGACCAGAGAGAACCAGCCTTCCCAGGTGAAGCCACTGGGTGCACTAACTCAGAATTGCTTGATGCTCACCTGGGACAGGGAAGGGGGGGCGGGTTGTGTACTATGACAGGTCCACTCAGGGGAGCTTTTTTCTGTATTTTTTGGGGAGGGGCTATCCTCATATGATCGAAACGAATTTGCTTGTCACTAATACTCCAAGTTCATTTCATTTTTACTTTTCCTCCCCCTTTTTGTTTTAGATGTAGGTCTGAGGGACAAGGATCTGGAGAGATTTATTGTTATTATTATTATTATTAAAAAAAGCACACTGTACAGTCACACAGCTCATCTCAACAAATGACATCACCAACACATCCTGTTAGACCCTCCAGAAATGGGTTCTCTTTCTTCCCTGGCACCCCATTTTCCATCCCTCCTTCCTCAGTACCCTTTCCTCCCAGGCCCCCGCCCCCACCTGGGTCTCAAAGTCATTAAAATCTTGTCTTGTGGTGTCTGAGCCACATTTCTTTCTCTGTTTATCCTTATAATAATGGCGTTATTAGTGTATGTCCTGGTAAGACTGACTGAGTTTGCTAAACAGGGTGTTTAAGAGTTGTTACCCGTGCGTGATCCATGCAGCTCTCGTTCGCCTGTAGCATGAAGGAAGCTTCCAAATGTTTTGGGGGAAATGAACTTAAAATCCGAATTATATGCCAATAAAACTTTTGAAAACAAGGAAAAACAAAACAGAACACAAGAAGACAGGCTTCATGGAGGGAAAGGGGGAGGTTAGGCTTCGGGCATCCCCGGTCCTGACTGCCGTGGGGGGGCCCTACACCACTAAGTGAGCTCCCCTGTCTCCGCTAGCACCCGTGTCCCAGCCACGGTCCATTCCCACTGTGCAGCCCTAATGTCGCCTCTCGGCGTTTCTCTTGGGGTTGCAGACGGCATAGATGTGCGCTTATTTAAAAAGAGGAAGAGAAGACACTGGCGTATTCTCAGGACCCTTTTGCTCCCCCCTAGTCTTGTTAAGGAGCACGAACCTGAAGCTTTGTTTTCAGTCTCCTGTGACTCAAGCCCTGGGGCGATGTCGTGTTTCATCTTTTCCATCACAGGAGTGGTTTTTGGGGAAAGCCCTGCACGATGAGGAAGCCACCATCATCCACCACTACGCCTTTTCTGAAAACCCCACGAGCTTCAAGTACCCGGACTTCGCCGCCGGCTGGGCCCTGAGCATGCCCCTGGTGAACAAGTAAGCGCCACGGGACATCTCTCTCCAGCGTTCCTGTCTCATTAGCTCTGGAGGTCACTTTTCTAGGGGCCAGAGGCCTTGGGGGGGCGCAGCCTCGCTCTGATGTGTCTCGGAACTTCTTCCTGTGCACCCGGAAACTGAGGCAAAGCAGTGCTGGGAGCCAGGGGCGCACTCAGACCTACACGGATGTGACCTGGTCACTACTGCCGATGGCCCTCGTTAGAGGGCACATCCCCGGGTTTGCCTGGAGAGAGCTGGTGGGCAGGGTGCCAGGGGTGGTCATCTGCCTGTGTGGTGCTGGGCGCCATCTCAGTGCCCGTCCCACCTCACAGCCCCCCACCCCACCCCAGTGGCAGAGAACCGCCCACTGGGCTTTCTTAGCTGCCATCTTTACAGGAGCAGGTGGCCAGGCCTAATCTTGGTTCTTGCTTCACCCCTGCACCCCCAAGGAGCCATTTTCTGAATGAGCGTAGACCCTTGGGAGACATGTTCGGTTCTAGAAGCCCTGCAGCCCAGTCTACTCCGACTCAGAGTGCCCCCCGTGTGTCAGGGCAGAGCTGCCCAGCAGTTTATTCGGCTGATGGCCAGGAGCTGCCGGCTGGACTTGATCCGCTGCCCTTTTCCATGGCAGCCGCACGCCCAGGGCTCTCTTGTGTGCTCACAGACACGGGGCTCGTACCCGAGCCTGGCAGGGGTGCCCCTGTGGACAGTCCCACGCCTGTGTCCGTCTGCATGCACGGTCCCCGCCGCACTGCTGGAGAAAGAAGAGAGACGGAGCTGAGACCTAGAGGAGGAGGCGCCCTGGTGGCGCAGCGGTTAAAGCAGCCGGCCGTCGGTCATTCAAAACCAGCAGCCGCTTGAGGAGGGAGGAGGCTTTCCACTGCCACAAAGAACTGCAGCCGTGGGAACCCTGTCCCATCGGGCTACTAGAGCCTCATGGAGAGTCAGGCTCGAATCGCCGCAGCCCGTGGGGGGCGGGGTTCACAGGTGGGGGGGGTGTCAGACACTGCACGGGCCTTCTCTGAGGCGCTCCATGCCACCAGCCACGGCACTTCTTCACGAGCACCCACTACTACCTGCTCCCACCTTCTTGATGCCGCCTCCGCTGGGGAGAAAACAGTTGTGGCCCAGCCAGCCTAAGAAGCAATTAAAAAGCCGGTGGCTAAACTTGCCGTCGCTATCCTGCCGTTGCCCTGAAACCCCTCATTAAAAAGCAGAATGAGGACAGCCCTCAAGTTGGTCCTGTCTCGTGGGGACCCAGGGGTCAGCATAGAACTGCACCCCGTGGGGTCTTGGTTGGCCAACTTGGGGGTGGGGGTGGGAAAGGGGTTCCAGGCTTTCTTCAGAGGTATCTCCACCTGTCCCATTAGCAGCCGGGTGGGTTAACAGTCTGAGCCCCCCCATCGACCTACAGTCAGCTTTAGGAGGCTGGCACACAGCTAGTCTCCAGACTCATCACAGATACTGAAGCGTCTGGTATTGAGGGCCCTCGTAGCAGAGCAGTTTAAGCGTTGGGTTGCTAACCACAGGTCAACAGATCAAACCCACCAGCTGCTCCGTGGGAGAAAGAGGAGGCCGTCTGCTCCCGTGAAGACTGACAGCCCCAGAAACCCACAGAGGCAGCTACTGTCCTGCTGGGTCTCCATGAGTCAGTGACTGGTGGCAGGGAGTTTGGGCTTTTGGTGTGTGTGGTCTTTCAGTAAGGTGCCCTGTGGGTGCAGGGGTTTAAATAGGTGACTGCTGACTGTCAGTTCAAGGACTCAAACCCACCAGCATCCCTGAGGGAGGAAGATGAGGCTTCCCTCCCTTCAAAGGAGCCCTGGTGGTGTAGTGGGCTATGCGTTGGGCTGCTAACCACAAGGTCCACAGTTCAAACCCACCCTCTGCTCCACAGGGGAGAGAGGAGGCCACTTTCTGGGAAGCCCACAGAGGCAGTTCTGCTCTGTCCTTGGGGGCCGCTGTGAGTCGGCATCGACTCGAGGCAGCGGGTAAGCATTTCAGTGATCTTCCCCAAACCCCATGTCGTCAAGTCGAGTCTGGCTCGGTGACTCCGTAGGACAGCGTGGAACTGGCCCTGGGGGTCCCTGAGACCACCAGTCCTTGTGACAGGAGAAAGCTTCGCCTTTCCCTTTGCAGAGACGGTTCGCTGATGGTGTTTGCTCGTGTTGGAATAACGGTCACCACCTTTCCAACAAGGCCTTTGCAGCAAGTGTCTGCTGGCCTGGAAGTGACCTTTCGCTCTCTTTTTGCTAAACGGAAGGAGTCCCAGGTGGACAGTACGCATTGGGCTGCTCCCTGCAAGGCTGGCGGTTCAAGCCCACCACCCGCTCCACGGGAGAGCAGTCTGGCCATCCGCCCCTGAAAAGACCGACAGCCGCAGAAACCGCGTGGGGCGGCCAGGAGTCAGCATGGGGGGACCACAGTGAACGGCGTGGGGGGTGTTTGTTTGTTTTCCCCCTGAAGAAAATTGAAGTCTTTTGGTAATAAGATTTATATATTTCTAAATCTGCTTTCAATATTTGAGTGTTCCAAGAATGTATCCCTCTTATTTGACTCTTTTTCTGTCTTTCGAGAGCCCCAGACTCACATTGTCTCTCCTGCCCAGGCTCTCCAAGAGGTTGAGGAGCGACTCGCTGAAGTCCGACTTCACCATCGACTTAAAGCACGAGGTGGGTGGCTCTGCTTTGTTTGGTTAAATTTGTGACCACGAAAAGTCGATAGCGTCCGACAGAGAAGGGGCTGTAAATTATCCCCCGAAGAGTGCCCTTTCCAACCAGCTCCCGTCTTCTCTCTGCACCCAGGGACTTGGGACCTTCTGTGGAAGGAGGTTTAGACATGCAGGTGGAGAGGGAGCAGGGAGAGAGATTGAACCCTGGGTCCTTGAGGCGTCATTTTTAATACTCGGTGGCTCCAGCCAGAGGTCATGAAAAGTACTTCTGGACTTCAAAAGGGGGAAGCGATGTAAGACAGAACTGAAAATTCCCATGGAATCCAGACGTCTGAAGTCATGGAGCCTGGATGAACTCCCAAAACTAGGACCCAGAGATCATACTGAAACTTGAAGCCAGAGAGTCCACTCAAGTCTTCTTTAAATCCGACAGGAGCCTGATGAACAGAGACTGTCTGCCAGGACCCTTGGAAGGAACCATCTAACTCAAACCCTCAGCACACGCACTGCCATCGAGTAGATTCCATCTCACAGCGGCCCTATAAGGACAGGGTGCAACTGCCCCTGTGGGTGTCCGAGAGGTGCCTCCTCCTGGAAGCAGAAAGCCTCGTCTCTCTTTCCCGTAGAGAACCCGATGGCTTTGAACTGCAGACCTGGAGGTTAGCACAATATGAAACCCACACCTGCAGGGAGAGAGATTGAACCCTGGGTCCTTGAGGCGTCATTTTTAATACTCGGTGGCTCCGAGTTGATTTGATGGTTATCAAATCGATAACCAGCACACCAAACTCCCTGCAATCGAGTGGATTCTGACCCTTAGTGACCCTTTAGGACAGGGTCGGACTGCCACTGTGGGTTTCCGGAGCTGCTGTGAGGCTCTACGGGAGTTGAAAGCCCGGCCTTTCTCCCTCGGATTGGCTGGTGGTTTCCCACTACTGACCTTGCGGATCGAAGCCCAAAGGTTAACCAGTCGGCCACCCGGGCCCCCAATTGAGGACAGTTCCTGGGGGAAGATCAGCGGGGAGCCGCAGGAGCCCATGAGAGTGATGTTCCTGGGGAGGAGCAACTCAGAAGAGGGGGGAGGCTGTACAACCACTGGGTTGTTAGAGGGGGGCTTCAGAAAGGTGTAGGGCAACCCCACTGTCATTTGACCCACATCCCCAGGAACTGTTGGAAGCCTCTGCTTGGATGTGGTGGGCACGCTGGTGCGGAGCAGCGAGTGGCGTTTGGCTGTTAATTCGTTAGATGGTAGTTCTGCTCCCGTGCCCCTGAATGGCTCACGTTATCTAGTGGGACTGGCAGAGCTGACCAGCTCCCTCACGCCCGTCCCGGGTGCCCCCTTTGCATGCTCCCATCCAGTGCTTCGGTGGGGTCGGAAAGACCGCCTAGGAGATCGGTACCCTGTGATCCATCGGCGCTGCAGGACGCAGTCCACCCCGCAGTTCCAGTTCCTGTCTTCAAGCTGGCCGTCAAGGTCTCTGTGACTCCGCAGGGGGACCAGAGCCTGGGGCATTTCCTCACACGCTCTCTGATAGCTTAGGCCGGATCGGAACATCAGGTCTTCTCAGGCTGCCTTGGGATTTTTCTGGGGGCTGAATATTGACTCATAGTTATTTGTTAAACAATATATAGGTTCATGTGTTAGGTGGAGTTGGCTAGGAAACAAATTTAGGGACAATGGAATGTGTAGAAGAGAGAGCTTTATATCAAAGAGCAATTGTATCTTAAGAAAACATCCTAGCCCAGTCCAGATCAAGTCCATAAGTCCGATAGTAGCCCACATGCCCGATACCTGTCCATAAATTCCTTTTCAGACTCACATAGCCACTCACAATGGTGCTGAATGCAGGAAGATCAGGAGCCGGTGGGTGAAAAGTCTTGTGGACCTAGTGGTGGAAGCATCTCAGTGCTGGTGTGGGTCGCCACATGGCTCCTCAAGCTCTCCAAGTGTCCCAGCAGCAGGAAAGTGAAGCAGAGAGAGAGAGAGAGAGTGTGTGGTCCACCTCCAGGGAGAAAGAGGATGTTCCCAGAATCCTCATGAGAAGGCCATGCCCATGAGGAAGCATCATCGGGGTGTGACCTGATGGACGGGTAGACTCCATTCCTTCACTCTCAGTATCCTCCAGTTAACAGGAGATTATGTAACTCCCACAGTTCCTATGAGATGTTTGAGCAAAAGTCACATGAAACTAATGATAAGAACTGATTAATGTTTATTATAATGCACAGGTAAGTCAAAAAGTATTGCTGCACAATGATGGGAAAAAAACAAAACAAACACACCCTGCCATGGCATCGATGCATACGTAACAACCAGCGACCCTACAGGACAGGGCGGAACTGCCCCTGTGGGTTTAGGAGGCTCCTGATGGAGTAGGAGCCTCGTCTTTCTCCCAGGGATGGGGTGGTGGTTTTGAACGGCTGACCTTGAGGTTAGCAGCCCAATGTGTAACCACTAGGCCACCGCACAAATAATCAGACTATGGAGCTGTTGTTTCCCAGCATGCCCCACGTCTGGGTCTCCGCACGTCTGAAGGCAGTGTTTCCATCTCTGACCCAGCTCCCCAGATGGGCACCACACCAAAGCAGACATTTTAGGGACCCGAGAGACAAACTGTGTTCTTTGGACATGTTGGGGTTTTAGGAAGTACCCTCGTGTGTGATTTGTAAGTCGGGCAACAAAATCTGAGTGTCATTGAGTCCACTCAGACTCATAGTGGCCCTATAGGCCAGAATAGACTTGCCCATGGGGCTTTCCAAAGCCGTACATCTTCTTCACAGGAGTAGAGAGGCTGGCTTCTCCTGAGGAGCAGCTGGTGGTATGAACTACAGCCCTCGTGGGTGGGTAGCAGCCGAGCATCTGACCCACTGCATCACCAAGGCTCCTGTTTCCAATTGAAACCCAAACGCACTGCTGCCAAGTCAGCACTGGCCCCTCGCTCCCTCTGGGACAGGGAGAACCACCCTATGAGGTTCCGAGACTGGAACCCTTGCCGGGAGTAGACAGCCCCTTCTTTCTCCCACAGAGCGGCTGGTGGTTTCGAACTGCTGACTTTGCAGATTGCAGCCCCACGCATAGCCACGGCGGCACTAGGCCTCTTTGATTTCCATCTCAGAGAGCCAAAGTACAAAGACAGCAGCAGCAAAAGCCACCCCACAGCAACACAACAGCAGGGCAGATTGCAAAGAAGAAAGCGCTTTCACAGATTTCTGGAGGCTGTAGATTAGGGGCCAGAATCAGATGAGGCAGACCATTTGTGGTCAAGCAAGAGTCCACACCGCTTTCTGCTGGACAGCAATTAATCACTGACGGACCGACTCAAAGACAGAGCTTCTCGCCTGACCTTTGTCGTTTCAGTTTGTCAGCACGAACCACACATAATCTATGAAAGGACACCATGCCCAGCCGGAGGCTGTTGTGTGACTCAAAGCGGACTTAGAAAACCAATTTTCTCCAAGCTAGAGATTTTCAAAGATCCTCTCAGGGCGATGGCCTACAGAGGTCACCTCATCGTCCTTCAAATCCCAGAACTGAGATTCCATGAGATTTAAAAGCTCTGCCCCGCTGAACTCCAGATCATACAAAGACCAGGCTTACCGGAGTGACGGAGAATGGAGGCCCCTAGTTACTCTTCAGACTTGACCTCGCCCCCGTCTCAACTTTCAGCCGAACAACACAGTCTTCAGCAACACCAGGGAGGCACACACGCAGAGCAATCCCCGTAGGAGACCAGAAGGGCAGCGTTTCCCCAGGAATAAAGCTGGGGGGTGGGGGCAGGCAGGAAGGGTGGAGGGAACTAGTGAGCCCTGGGGGGACGAAGGCAGTTACCGTGTAGGCATGGCAGCCAGGGTTACACACCAGAGTGTCTGGGAACCGTGGAATGGTAAACCAGTCTGCTCGGAACCTTTCACTCAAACCACAGCAAAAAGGTTTCTGAAAAGATCATTCTTCTAAGTGGAATAAAAAGAAAGTTGAGTGCTCCCGGCTGGCTGGAGTTCAGCCCAGTTCTTTTGTTGAGGGAGTCTTCTCCTTCCCTCTGAGATGTTGCACGGGCCCTGACCATCGGTGGTGCTCTGGCAGGTATCACTGGACTGCTAACCGCAAAGTCGCTAGTTCCAGCCCACCGGCTGCTCTGAAGGAGAAAGGCGAGGCTGTCGGCTCCAGGAAAGACTCGCGGCCTTGGAAACCCACTAGGGCAGGTCTGCGCCCCCTGCAGGGTCACCACGAGTCAGAGCCCACTCGATGGCAAGGGCTTAAGGGTTTAACGTTTACTCTGGTGCTGACCGAGTTCCTTCCTTCCCTGTCCGCCTCTCGTCTCGCGCAGATTGCCCTCTACATCTGGGACAGAGGGGACGGGCCGCCGCTGACCCCCGTGCCTGAGCTGTGCACAGAGGATGCCGACCACGCAGGCCCCCACTGTGCCACCACGTTCCAGTCCCTCCTGCCGCTCTGTGTAAGTGAGAGGGGAGACCTCCTGTGCGCCAGGGAGAGGGAGAAGGTCAGGGCCATGTCTGACTGTGCTGGGCTGGGTTCCCCAGAGGAGCAGACCAAGTGCTGTACACCCGACGGAGGCTCACGCGGTTGTAGAAGGGCTTACGCCCAATCCCAATCCGGTTGAGTCCGTGGATCAACCAGGTGTGTCCCAGGTCTGATGAATCCAGAAGCAAAAGGAGGAAGCGGGAAGACTGCAGGATGGTGGAGGCAGAGGCAGATGAATCCGAGGCCAGCAAGTCAGGCTTGCGGCTGCAGAGTCTAATGAATCCAGGGTCAGCAGGCAGGACGGCAGACTGCCCATAGCGCCCACGGCCAGCAGGTACTAGAGCAGGCCATTGGTTCAAGTGCAAGGAGCCAGAGGGGAGTGAACGAGGTGCAGGATCCAGGCCCGCCAGAACGTGGAGACGTCTCCTCACAGGGTCTGCTTAACTAGGAGTCAGCCACGCCCCATTACACCCCCTGTCGCTTCTCCCAAGGCTGTAGCCTGACAGCAGGGGGTCCCACTCCACCCCACTCCTCCCTCAACTGCTTGGCTGCTCACAGAAGGATCCCAGAAAGAAGTTGATCACATGATGTTAGATCCCGTCATGGGAGGATCTCGGCCCAGCCGAGTGGACACTAAAATCTAACCATCACAATAGAATTCTCCCAGCACTTTACCTCCTGAGGACCCAGGACCCCCACTGATCCGTGAAGACAGCCCTGCCCTTCACCATCGAGAAGAGAGGCATTGAGGCGCTCCGTCCTGGCACAGAGTGACACAGGGAGGGGAGGGAGGGAGGGCCTGCCTCCGACCTCTCACCAGAGACTGCACAGGACAGCCTGCCCCGAGGGCTTTCTCTGTGGATGGCGTCTGCGGCTGTGTCTTATGGCCACTCAGCCCCGTTGTCGGTAAAGGCTCTTCCAGACTTGTCCCTCAGAACCCAAGTCTTCTCCCCAAACCCACTCCCCTTGTCCTCTCAGCCGGTGGGCCTGCTTCTGCTCTCAGAGATGCTCCCCAACTTTGAGAACGCGCTCACTTGTTCCTGCAGACCCGTGGCCTGACCCCCTGAAACCCTCCATGGTGATGGTCTCTTTCTTTGTCTCTGTTGCCCTGAACTTGAAAACCAAACGCTGTCCTGGAGCGTGGAACCGCCCCGCGGGTCTCGGAGACCGGCTCTTTCTGGGAGCAGACGGCCTCGCCTTTCTCCCGAGGAGCAGCTGATAGTTTCAAACTGCTGACCTTGCGGTTAAGAGCCCAATGTGTAACTGTGGTGCCAGCCTGTCACCTCGCAGTCTATGTTTGTGTGAAAACGTCAATTTTATACATACATTGCCTCTGTGGGGGCGTTAGGAGTCAGAACTGGTTGGTGGAAGTTGGCTCATCACGTGTAGGTGCAATCAGTGCTCATGGAGCAGCAGTGAAGAGATCAAAAGACAGGTAGCATTAGGCAAATCTGCGGCACACGGCCTCTTTCCTTAGAGCAGCCATTCTCAACCTTCCTCACGCCACGACCCTTGCATACAGCTCCTCATGTGGGGGTGACCCCCAACCATAAAGTTATTTCCGTTGCTACTTTATCAGTCATTTTGCTACTGTTACGAATCGGGCGACTCCTGTGAAAGGGTCGTTTGACCCCCAAAGGGGTTGCGACCCACAGGTTGCGAAGCACTGAGTTAGAGACCTGAGGAGCAAGGGTGTTACTTTGCGGACTCAGGCGGCCTGACTTCTCCGTTGCATCACGTGCATGTGAACGTTGCCCACTGAACAAGGGAGCGTGTGGAGGAATGTTGAAGGTAACGTGGACTGCTCAAAGGACACCCTGACCTGTGTTGGTGGAAGTAAGGCCAAGTGCCCCTCAGAGGCATTGCACCTGCCATGTGGGTGCTCTGAGGCGAGATGGGGTTCACGGAGGATGGGGCATCTGACGCGCGTGCGTGCGTGTGTACACGTATGTACCAAATCTCTGCCATATCATAGGTACACATTATCCTCTTCCTCCTTTTCCAGGGAAATCCGGTGAAGAAGGAGGACATCTTTGTTGCCGTAAAGACGTGCAAGAAATTCCACAAAGACAGAAGTATGTTTTGAGTTATTCTTTCTATTTGAACTTGGGAAAAGTGGAGGCTGCCTTTAGTAACAATGGAAAAGCCCAAGCCTGGCATAAACTGGGGTAGGCATGATGGCAGATGTAGCAGTGTCTACGTGGAAGCAGGTTACTCCGTCTCCAAGGTCCCTTCTGAAGGGCAAGTGTGGGTTGACGTGTGAGCACGCAGACCATGCGTCCAAGCGGGTTCTGACTCTGAGCGACCTGGGCACAATGGAAGGAAACACGCCCGGTCCTGCGGTTGTGTTGGAGCCCATGATAGCAGCACGGTGTCCGTCCGGCTCATGAGGGTCTGCCTTTGTTCAGTGATCCTCGGCTTTGCTGAGCCTTGGTGGCATCATTGTCTGCACGCTGAGTAGCTCAGCACAGGGTCCGTGAGTTGGAATTGACTGGATGGCAGTGAGCTTGGCTTTCCTGCCCGGCCAAGCAGTGTCCTTCTCCAACCACCAGTCCTACCTAAGACCGTGTCCGAAGGACGTGAGACCAGGTCTCCCTGTTCTTGCTTCTGAGGAGCGTGCTGGCCCTGCTTCTTCCCGGACGGCTCTGTGTTCCTCCGGGAGCCCACAGGGCTTTCCGCGGTCCCCTCCAGCACCGCAGTCAAAGGCCTTGGCTCTGTGACAGCCTTCCTTGCCTACAGCCCTTCTAAATAGCGCTCCCAGCAGCGTTTGAGGAGGAACTGGGGAGGCCCCACTATGCAGTCTCTCAGCTCGGCAAACCCACATCCTGCAGGGACCACCTGGCTCTGACTGGGCACAGCTTACACACCATGTGAAGACAACTTCAGGGGCCTCCAGCTTAGAGCGTGCCAGGGAAGATTTTTTTCCTACCTGCCCTTTGAAGTCCCCTCCTCCAGTGCCCTCTGTCTGATAAGAAATATTTTACGAACGGGGAGTGAATTGAATTCAGCATTCCGGCAATGCTGATAAAGCAGCTTCAGGGACCTGCTGAGGTATAAGACGGAACCTTATGTTTTTCTATCGCTTGTTTTAGGGGAACACTCTTGGACTCTCTCTCTCTGGCAGAGAGGTCCTGGTTCTGGTTCTGGTTCCGGTTTCGGCAGGTCGGACTGCCTGCCGCAGGTTATGACCGGAGTTACCCAGAATTCACTGCTCTTTGTCCTTTCTTTCCCCCCAACCATCTTATTGGCGTGGAATTCACACAGCACACAAGTCAACAGTCCAGTCACACCCAGAAGAGTTGTGCATCAGCACCACAATCAGCTGTAGGACACCTCTTTCATTCTCCGGCTTGTCCTTCAGCGCTCCCGGAAGTTCCCCTGACCTCCCTGCCACGCCCCTAAGGAGCCATCCATCCCGTTCCTGTCTCTGCAGATGTGCTAGACTTCACAGACCGAGAGAGATTGAAACAGCAGCAGCAGAAACCTGGCGAGAGAAACAGTGAAACACGTAAAAACCTGGATCGAAAAGAAAGCAGAAAATATGAAAAAGTAGAACAAACGTAAACAGACCGTGAGGAAGAGCAAATGATAGGGGCTGCATTGTAAACCAACCACATCTCTCCTTTCTGCGAGCCACAGGTCAGAACACACTACAGAGGAAGCACTGCCCTGCATGGGGCCCAAGGCTAGCGGTGGCCGGTGTAGGGAAACAGTGTTTGCCTTGTAGGGAAACACTTAGTGTTTGGCCTCCCACAGCCTCTTTTGCATGTAGTTTATTTTGATCTGTGATGAGGAGAGAAAGAGAACTGCAGGAAAAGACCAGCCTGTTCTAATAACCCGGCACTCTTTGATACTCACCTTCCTGAGACGACAAAATGGGTGCATGAGAAAATGTAGTGAAGAAAGTGGATGATGCCCGGCTATCAAAAGATATAGCGCCTGGGTCTTAAAGGCTTGAAGTTAACCAAGCGGCCATCTAGCCCACATGGAAGAAGCACACCAGCCTGTGTGTTCATGAGGTGTTGACGGGATCAGGTATCAAAAGATCCCAAACAAACAATTATATCAATGCGAACGAGGGGCATTGGAGTGGAGAGCCAAAGCCCACCTGTAGACCTGGAGACAGTTGGACACACCCCCCCCCCCAATAAAAGGGTTACAAGGAAGGGGGGGAAAGGGGGAAGCCATCACAAGGTTGGATATATAGCCCCCACCAGGGAGATGAATTACAGAAATGTGGGTGAAGGGAGACAACGGACAGTGTGAGACACACAAATAACAACAGTAATATATAACTGATCAAGGACTCATGAGGATGGGAGGGAAGGAGGGGGGAAAGAGGAGAAGATACCAAGGGCTCAAGTAGAAAGAAAAGGTTTTGGAAATGTTGATGGCAACCTATGGACAAGTGTGCTTCATATCCTTGACTGATGGATCGTCATACTTGTAAGAGCCCGCCAATAAAATGATACACAAATAAAGTTAATTGATTTTTAAAAAGACCCGCCTGAAGATCTGCTTCCGAGTGGAGATTCTCCTGTCAGGGTGTGAAGTGGAGCCAGGGTGTTCTTTTCCATGGAAAGCAACAACAGAAACCTGCCCTTCCCCTTAACATTGAGACGGGCAGTGCTGGCAGTCACCCCTCCATGTGGCTGCTCTTGCTGTGGGGGTTCTGTGCGGCGACAATGCTGCCCGGCTCTGCGCCCACCCAGTCCACTGCCCTTGAGCCCATTCAGCAGGGTTTCCGAGGCTGTCAGTCTGTACTGGAGCAGGCAGCCTCCACTCTCCCTGCAAGCAGTTGGTGGGTTTGAACCGCTGACCTTGTGAGTAGCAGTCCAAAGCCTAACACACTGCACCGCCAGGGCTCCCATGCACCATCCTAGTCCCCGCTTCTTGCCCGTTTGGATTTCTGTGAGTTCGGCAATGCGGTTTCAATGCCGATGTTGCTCACCTCACGTACCTGGTTTCTTGCTATCGCCGTGTTCCACATCACTGTTAGTTGTTACCGGTCATCTCTTTTGAGCCAAATTTATCAATGACACTTGACCCTGGGTGCACACTCCCGGCAACGCCGTGGGACAGGGCGGTTCTTGCCTGGCCTTCCCGAGGGCAGGCAGCCTCCTCTTCCCTCCGAGGAGCAGCTGGTGGGTTTGTACCGCTGACCTGTCATGAGCAGTCCAACCTGTAGCCCACTGTGCCGCCAGGCCTCCTCTGGAAAAAAGACTCACACGTTGACGGGTGTTCTCATGGGCGCAGAGGTCTGAGCAGAGGGGCATGCTTCAGCACCATCGAGAAGGGGCTTCAGCCACACGCTGTTAACGGCCATTCTTGCCCTTGTGCATCTCTTCGCCGCTGCGTCCCCTCTCCCTGCAGGCTGCGTGCTCTGCCCGTCTGGGCTGGAGGGTCCCTGCAGAGCTGTGTGCTCGGCCACATGGCCGTCCCCTTGGCTTTTCCAGTTCCCATCGTCAAGCAGACGTGGGCAGCACAGGCCGGGCTCATGGAGTACTACAGCGACCACGCAGACGCCACCATCCCCACTGTGGACCTGGGCGTCCCCAACACAGAGCGAGGTGAGTCCCCCCACCTCCCTGGTCAAAAGTTCGATTCTGTGAACATCCTCTATCCGATTGAATTGTATGATATTTGGATTATAGCCCAATAAAACTGTGTTTTTTAAAAATCAAACAGAACCCCAAACCAAACTCACTGCTATTGAATTCTGGCTTAATGACTATAGGACAAGGTAGAACTGCCCTGTAGGCTTCCAAGATTGTAACTACATCAGTAGAAGCCTCGTCTTTCTCCCTGGAGCTTGCTGGTGGTTTCGAACTGCTGACCTTGTGGTTAGCAGCCCAGCGCATGCCTACTATGCTGCTGGGGCTCCTATCGTCCATCAAGGTAGGGTCGAAATGAAATGTAGTGTTCAGACACAAAAACTTAGAAAACTAAACCTGAATCAGCCTGTTCAGATTCTGACGCACAGTCCCCCTGTGCACCCAAGTAGAACTGCCGCTGTGTCAGGCTTTCAGGGAGCAGCGAGCCGCGTCTTTTTCCCGAGGCATGGCTGTGGGTCTGAACCCCGACCTCTGATTAGGATCTGAGTGCTTGACCCTTGCACCACCAGGGCCCTTCTACAGAGATGGCAGGCTGGGAAACCCTGTGGGTCCGCAGTCCTGTCCCCCCTCTCCATCACCCCTGGGCTCACCGAGAGTGGGGACCAACAGCAACGGTCAGAAAAGGGAATTTTTTTTTTTTCTCCCGCCCTCTTCCTCTCACCCGCTCTCCCTCTGCGAGCCTCCCGCCTCCCTCCCGCCCGCCCTCCTAGAAAAGGGAATTTTTAAATGCAAATTTTTAAAACACACACTGGCATTCTCAAACACTTATGCACAACACACACACAAGTATATCTTTATCAAGATGCACATTGGCATTCAAGCACTTGTAACAGACTCCCCCCCCC